GAGTGCGAGTGCAGCCAGGCGTGCCACCGCAGCCAGGAGTGCCACCACAGCTACTCAGCAGCCAGGCATGCCACTGCAGCCAGGCGTGGCAGTGCAGCCAGGCGTGCCACCACAGCCAGGAGTGCCAGTGCAGCCAGGCGTGCCAGTGCAGCCAGGAGTGCCAGTGCAGCCAGGAGTGCCACCGCAGCCAGGAGTGCCACCACACCCACTGTTTATACACATACACACTAACAGACACAGCGGTCTCTGTGTGTGTGTGTGTGCGCGCGCACGTGTGCGCACATACACGTCTAAACAGCAGTGTCTGTTGGGGGTGTATATATATTATATATACACACATACACTTTTTTTTTTAATACGCGCACACACACACACACAGAGCAGTGTCCTTTAGTGTGTATCTATTATAAACAGCTCTCTGAGTGTGTGTGGGTGTGGGTGTGGCATATAGTAGAAATAGCAGCGTGTGTCTGTGTGTATGTGTGCGCGCGCGCGCGTATGGTGTATATACAAAAAACCAGCAGAGTGTGTGTGGGATAGATATAAAAACAGTGGTGTCTGTTAGAGAGTGTGTATGTGTACACACACACACACACACACACACACACACACACACACAATCAGACCACTGTTTGGTTTTTTTTAAAATGTATATGTCCCCACACATGCTGACACTGCTGTTTATACACCACCACCCCCCACTGTTCACACACAAACAGACACGGCTGTTTATAATATACGCACACACTAAAGGACACTGCTCTGTGTGTGTGTGTATATTTAAAACAAAGTATATATACACCCCCCCAACAGGCACTGCTGTTTAGATGTGTATGTACACACACGCTAACAAAGCCTGCTGTGTGTGCAAACAGCGGTGTCTGTTAGTTTGTGTGTGTATAAAAACACAGCAGTGTCTGTCAGTGTGCGTGTGTGTGAGTGCAAACAGCAGTGTCAGTCTGTGTGTATATATAAAAAACAGCAGTGTTGGGGGGTGTGTGTGTGTGTGTGTGTGTAAAAAAAACCACCCCCCACAAACACCCCCAGCAGTGTCTGTCAGCGTGCGTGTGTGCATATGTATATATAAAAGCAGCGGTGCCTGTGAGTGTATTAGATAGATGTCTAGATAGATAAACAGCAGTGTCTGTGTGTGCACATACACACAGAGCAGGGTGTCTGTGTGTAGCTGTATGTACGTACACGGGGTGTCTGCGTGTGCCTGTGTGTGTATATATATGTATATATAAATGTATATATGCAGTGGTGTCTGTTGGTGTGTGTATATCTAGCTGTACATAAACTGTGGTGCCTGTTAGTGTCTGTGTGTCTATAGACACACACAGGGTGTCTGTACGTACGCACACGGTATCTGTTACAATGTGTGTATACCTGTATATACTGGGGGGTGTGGGGGGTGTGTGGGGGGTGTGTGTGCACGCACGTGTGTGTGTGTCTACACGGGGGTGCCTGTGTCTATGTAGATAAACACGGGGTATCTGTTATTCCGTGTGTATATACACACATTGGGGTGTCAGTAACTGTGTGTGCGCGCGTGTGCGTGCACGCGTGTGGTGTGGTGTGTTGTTACATCAGCATCAGTGTCTGTTAGTGTGTGTGTGTGTATATGTAGATACACAGGGGAGCCTGTTAGTGTGTGTGTGTGTATGTATATATACACAGGGGGCGTCTGTTACTCTGTGTCTGCATATATACACACACATATATATACCCTATATATATATGTATTGTTATATGTGTATACATATACATACACATATACGTACACACACAGAGGGGTGTCAGTAAGTGTGTGTGCGTGCAGTGTGGCGTTTGTGTATCTGTATATACACAGGGTTATCTCTGTGTGTTTGTGTATTTATATAGGCACAGGAGTGTCTTACTCTGTGTCTATACAGGGGTGTCTACATATACACACAGAGCAGCGTCTGCGAGTACACACACACACGCTGACAGACTTCCCTGGGTATTATATACAGCTCTATACACACACCCCTACACACACCCTCACTCACCCCCAGCTGGGGTCACAACCCCCCCCCCAGTCATCCCTGCTGCTGCGCAACAGCCCTGGCCAGGAGGGGTGACAGCCCGCACAGGCAGCGACCGCCACAGCAGCGCGGGAGGGGGGCCCCCCACCGCCTCTGCTTTAAACCTCTCCGAAAGGTTGGGCAGCTCTGACTCAACAGAAGACGAAAAATATTGTTGGAACGATTAGCGATGCGCTAGGACACAAAGTCCTGCCTTCGGCTGAAGCTGAGAACACCGACATCTGGTTACGGCTTCTAAAAGCACCAGGTAAATTACTTGGCGTTTTAAATACTTTCTTTTATAAAAACTCCTTCAAATATATAATAGCAACATGTCTCAAAAAGCATCTCTGAGATTTCCCATCAAGGCCAATTAAAGGATAACCACCTGGACACCACTTTAAAACCACGGGAAAGAGAACCTTTGTGTTGGTCAAATCTTTACTTGTCTCTCAGCAGGAGACCCTGGCACCTTATTTTCTGGAAGTTGACGTGAAACATGCAGGAACCAACTTCAGGAAAGTGCATCGAGCCCTGGAAGCAGCACCCAGAGCAGGGCTGCGGGCGCAGGAGGAGGGCAAGTCCCCTCCCCGCACCCAGAGCCGCTGCTGGCCCCGCGGGGAGTGACATGGGGCAGGGCAGCGTCCCCGCGAGCTGCTCTGCAAACACAAACTGCTCGGCAGCCGGTGCACATTGCCTTTTATTCAAAAGCTGTAAAAATAAGCTCTAAACCGTTTCCGAGTTCGGCTTTGGCAGACAGAGATGAATCAAAACAGACATTGGCAACAAGGGGAGGTCGATGATCCCGCGTGTGACTACAGCAACGTGGCCCGTTCCAGCAGCCCGGAGAGAAACAGGGCTCACACCCCCAGGAAAGCTGGAGCATTTCCAGCACAGCCGAGAGGCTGGACGTGCTCCCGGCAAGGAAGGGCCGTCTGCGAGGCAAGCAAGGATGAGCGCAGCCGGCCACAAGCGCTGCCGTGGCTTGTGCCCTTCTTGCTGCTTTTCAAATGAAGGCTCAGCTTTTGGTCACCGGAGAGTCCCCAAAAGCGTGCCAAGACAGGGATGTTCCACTGCAGACATCCCGCCAAGCAGAGGGACAGTGCAGATGGGGTTTAAGTATAATTTTGTGTCTGGCGAGGGAAGATCTAAGCACTCCCTGGGAGGCATGGCACAGGCTCACTACTGGTTGGGCTGTCCCACCCCGCGGCACGGCCCCAGAACCGGGCTCCAATTTGGCGTGGAGGCACCCACTGCCATTGAGTGGGGACAAGGAATCAAAGCCGGGAGGGCCCCAGCAGGGCTCGGGGCTTCTCGGGTGGAGCAGGCTGGAAAGCCAGCCCCGGGGAAACAGCTCGCTCTTCGGGAGGCTCGGCCACATCCCAGCGCGAGGCCGAAGATGGCTGCTGCTTCCCGAGAGCCCCCGGCTGGCTCGCAGCCCTCGGCCGAGGGCGTCACATCATACGAGTCACGACCATCGTGAGGAAGTCCTCGTAGCTCAGCCGCACGTTGCCCACCAGCCCCGTGTCCTTCTCGCGGAAGGCGTCGGTCGTGCTCTGGAGCTGCATGCAGATCTGAATGAAGCGGTCGAGCTGGATGCTGGGGTTGGAGGACCGCTGGGCGTAGCGGGCCAGCAGCAGCTGGCTAAACTGGGGGCTCAGGTTATAGCCCATCTGGGAGAAAGCTGGGAGCAAGAAACACTCGGATCAAACACTTCTAACGGGAGGAAGAGCGACTATGCCTTCCCTCGCACGTGCTGGCACGCACCCCATCTCCCACCGCCCCGTGATGTTCGCTTCTGATGGTGGGTGTGCTTGGGCAGGGCTCTCCGGACGGAGGAACCAAACCAAGGCACGAATTCCAGACGTTCTTCCCCTCCCCTCCATCAGACACACACGCCCAAGAGCTCCTCTCAGAAAACAGGCTTTAGCCACATGCCATTTGGGGGGTGGGGGTGGCATTTTGGGTTTCCTTAAGGAACGAGTTCATGCCACAGCCCCGCTGCGGCTCCTCGTCTCCTGCCCCACGGGAGGGCTCAGCTCCAGCTCTGCCACAGCCGGTTTAGCCAGCCCAGCGTGTCCCAGCTCAGCAACAGGCGTGGACTGCAGCCACGGCTGCATGGGAGGCACCCGGGAGCTCAGAGACACCCAGCCCTGCTGCAGGGATGGCACCAGGAAGAGTCACCGGGCCGGGCTGGAGATAGCAGAGCCAGGCAGCGGTCCCCGGGGAGCTCGGTAAGGGCCAGGTTGATGTCTCTGCCCCTCGCCCACCTTGTTGGAGCTCGTTGAAGCTGATGGAGCCCGACTGGTCCCTGTCGTACTGCTGGAAGAGGTTCTTCCACTGATGGATGAAGCGCAGCAAGGCTGAGAAGCCGTACACGTCTATGTGTCCCGACCTGGTCTTATCGAACATGTCTGGGGAGGAAGGAGCAAAGAGCAGGAGCAGGGCAGTGAGGAGTGGAGCAAGGACACGCCGCAGAAACTCCCAGAGAGCTCAGGATGTGCGCCACGGCTCGCCAGCACCCTGCTGTGGCCCCAAAAGCCCTCCCTCACCAGGACCGCGATCAACCGGGACCATTCAATCCCCAAGAGGCTGGTAGGAAACGGCACCAAAACCCGATGCCGGGGCAAGCAGGGGAACGGGGCGACTCTGGCTCGCTACTGGAGCTCTCGCTCTCTGGGAGCAGGGGCTCGCTCGGCCTCGTGCAGAGCTGGGTTCCCCTTCCCAAGCAGTCTTTCGGGCCCCTGACTCGTGTCCTCCACCGAAAGGGCGCTTGGAGCTGCTCGGTTTGCCCAGCTCTCGCTCCAGAGAGCGCTTACAGGCCAGCTGCTCGGGTAAGCGATGCTCAGGTAACGGGAACGCAGGCTGGGCTGGGCTTCACCCCTCAAAGAGATCAGAACAAAAAGCAGGGGGAGGGCAGGGAGAGCCCAGACTCACTTATCATCAGCAGGCAGGTCTCGTCGTTGAACGTCGACCAGTTGGAGTTGACCAGCGCCTGCTTCAGCTCCTTCACGGAGATGTACCCACTGCGGTCAGCATCGACCGCCTGGAACCAGGAGGCAGCCTCCGGGTCCACGCCCGGGGGGGCACTACCTGCGTGGGGAGAGGCCATCAGCGCCTCCCACCTCTCCTCGGAGAGGGACCGCTGGCTGGTCCCTCCCCGGGGACGGCTCACAGAGACGCAGCCGACACCCAGGGACCAGTCAGCACTTCTGCTCCACGCAGCTTTTCGCAGCCGTAGGGTCCCGGGAAAACAGGTTAGCAAGGCCCGGGGCTCGGCACGTAGCGTCGCACTTCTGCCACGCAGCTTTTCGCAGCCGTAGGGTCCCGGGAAAACAGGTTAGCAAGGCCCGGGGCTCAGCACGTAGCGCGGCAGGGAAAGGGAAGCAAAGCAAAGCAAATCAGACCCCTCGCGTGGCTCGGGACCGGAGAGCGAACCACGGAGCGCCCGCCCCGTAAACCCGGCGGCACCGGGAGCCAGAGGCACGTCTGTAAAGTTTTATCGCTGGTGCTCAGGGCTGGGGCCTCTTCGGCACTTTCCTCCTCCTCCTCCTCGGGATTTTGAAATAATAAACCGGGACTTTGCGATTTCATTCATAAGGGTGAATTCCGCTGACCTGGCGAGGGGCGCCGAGCCAACCCCTCCTGGCACGGAGCGGGGCCGGGACACGGGCGGGACCGGGCTGGGGAGCACCCGCCCACCCCCGCGACCCGGGGCGGACCCAGGGTACCCGCCGCGGGAGGGACCGCTCAGGCCCGCGGCCTCGCTCCC